AGTTTATTCCATTAATGACGAGTGAGGATGAAGAGGAGATGAATCAGGAAAAAACTCCTGAGCTCCTTTCTATTTTACCTTTACGAAACACAGTGCTTTTTCCGGGAGTAGTTATTCCTATAACGGTTGGGAGAGATAAATCAATTAAATTGATTCAAGATGCCAACAAAGGAGATAAGACAATAGGTGTTATTTCTCAGAAGGATGATACCATCGAAGAGCCCAATCAGGAACAGCTTTTCAAGATAGGAACCATTGCAAGGATTTTGAAAATATTCAGAATGCCTGACGGGAATACCACTGTAATCATACAAGGAAAAAAGCGCTTTAAATTAAAAGAAATCACTGAGTTTGACCCTTACTTAAAGGCAAAAATAGAAGCCTATGAGGTGAATAAGGTGCCTAAAGACAATAAGTTTAAAGCATTAGTTGACTCTATTAAGGATATGGCTTTGCGCATTATTGAGCAATCGCCAAATATTCCTTCTGAAGCATCATTTGCTATAAAGAATATTGAGAGTAATTCATTTTTGATCAATTTCATTGCATCAAATATGAATGCGGCAGTAGAGCAGAAGCAGGCAATTTTAGAAGAAACAAGTCCTCGAAAACGCGCTCAAATGCTCTTGCAATATGTGAGTAAGGAGTTAAAAATGTTGGAGTTGAAGAATGATATTCAGTCTAAAGTTAAAACTGACATTGATCAACAGCAGAAAGAATATTTTTTGAATCAACAAATGAAAATGATTCAAGAAGAATTGGGAGGAAATCCGCAAGATGAAGAGATTGAAGAGTTTAAGAAGCGGGCAAAAAAGAAAAAGTGGAACAAACCTACTCAAGAGCGATTCGAAAAGGAACTAGCAAAAATGCAGCGCATGCATTCTGCTTCAGCGGAATACTCTGTTCAAGTTAATTACATCGAAACACTGTTAGACTTGCCTTGGAAGGACTACTCAAAAGACAAGTTTGATTTAAAACGAGCGAAAAAGATTTTAGATCGTGATCATTTTGGACTAAAAGAAGTAAAAGATAGGATTATAGAGCATCTTGCAGTGTTGAAGTTAAAAGGCAACATGAAGTCTCCAATCTTATGCTTATATGGTCCTCCCGGTGTTGGTAAGACTTCTTTAGGTAAATCAGTTGCGGAGGCCATTGGTAGAAAATATGTGCGGATGTCCCTCGGTGGCTTGCGCGATGAAGCCGAAATAAGAGGACATCGAAAAACTTACATCGGTGCGATGCCCGGTCGGATATTACAAAATTTAAAAAAGTCAAAAACTTCTAACCCAGTTTTTGTTTTAGATGAAATTGATAAGGTAGGGAACGAGTTTCATGGAGACCCTTCTTCAGCCTTATTAGAGGTGTTAGATCCGGAACAAAATGAGAGCTTTAATGACAATTTTGTGGAGTTGGATTACGATTTATCGAAAATCTTATTCATTGCTACTGCGAATAGCTTAAATACTATCCAGCCGGCACTGCGTGATAGGATGGAAATCATAGAGATTAATGGGTATACTATAGAGGAGAAAGTTCAGATTGCTAAAAAGCATCTAATTCCAAAACTGATTTCTGACAATGGATTGAACAAAAAGCAAATAGTCATTTCCCAAGCGGTAATTGAAAAAGTATGTGATGAATATACGCGAGAATCTGGTGTTCGGAATTTAGAAAAACGCTTGGCAAAGATTGTACGATTTGCTGCTAAATCAATAGCCATGGAAGAAGAGTATGATCCAAAAATTTCAGTCGAGAAGGTGTATGATATTTTAGGGCCGGGCCATTCAAAAGATAAGTATCAAGGAAATGATGTTGCAGGAGTAGTTACCGGTTTGGCATGGACACAAGTTGGGGGTGATATTCTGTTTGTAGAAGTGAGCTTGAGCAAGGGGAAAGGTAAATTTACCCTCACTGGAAATCTAGGGGATGTAATGAAAGAAAGCGCCGCTATTGCCTTAGAATACATCAAGGCACACTCTGATGAGTTTGGTATTGATATTGACAGCTTCGAAAAGTGGAATGTACACATTCATGTTCCAGAGGGAGCTACTCCAAAAGATGGTCCTTCAGCGGGAATTACTATGTTAACAGCAATAGCTTCGGCCTTTACTCAACGAAAAGTAAAGAAAAACTTAGCGATGACAGGAGAGATTACCTTGAGAGGTAGAGTACTGCCAGTGGGTGGAGTGAAAGAGAAGATTTTAGCTGCCAAGCGCGCCGACATTAAAGAAATTATTTTATCATCAGACAAAAAGAAAGACATCGATCAAATAGATAAAAGCTATTTAAAAGGCTTGAGTTTTACTTTTGTGAATGAGATGAAAGAAGTTATTCAGCATGCTCTCTTAAAAAGCAAAGTAGATAATGCTGTTGAGATTGCTTAATCGATACTAGGGTAAAAATATAAAGGCTTGAACTATGGTTCAGGCCTTTTGTTTTGGAATTCGATTCTGAGATATTGCTTTTTGAGCGGTTGCCTTAAAAGCTCCCACTTTAAATAATCTCAATTTGAGGTGCTTAGTTTTTCTTCCTTGCACTCGGGCACGCCATTTTTCCCAGTTTCGAAGCTTCATTTCACGCTTCATCAATTGAATTACCTCTTTTTCTGTCAATCCAAATTGAAACTCAATAGCTTCAAACGGGGTCCGATCTTCCCAGGCCATTGAGATAATACGATCTAATTCTCTTTCAGTAAAATCTCTATTCATGTTAGAGTAACATCAAATTTAATGAGTTGTTTTATGTTTTGAGTTTAAGTATTTTTTTAAGGAAATATTGGAGAAAAGAAATTTCTAATCCATAGCTTTACTTTTAGATTCTTTTGAACTTATCTAGTTACTTCGTCATCTCATGCATCAAATACTTCCAACCAGCTATTTCGGTTCAACTTTTCAGTTTGCACTAATTGTACAACATAAAAATTACCAAGTTGATGCTTATCCTGGTTCATTTCCGGGGAGGTGCCAAGTTGATGCTTATGAACATTTTATTAAGCAGTCTTATCGAAACCGTTGTGAAATAGCCGGAGCAAATGGCAGCTTGAAATTAATTGTGCCATTGGAAAAGTGGAAGAATCATTGTCCAACTAGAGATATTAAGATAAGTCATGATGAAAATTGGCAAATTCAGCATTGGCGATCGATAGAATCTGCTTATCGTACTTCGCCCTATTTCGAATTTTATGAAGATGACTTAAAACCGCTTTTCTTTTTAGAAGAAAGCCACCTATTGGAATACAATCTACAAGTTGAAGCTGAACTTAAGGCCTTGTTGCAAATTGGTACCGAACAGCAACTGACTGAATCTTACGAAGCAAGTTCTCCAGATTGGCGGACAATTATTCATCCAAAGAATAATAAACTATTAGAAAAAGTTGACTTCCCAAATTATATTCAAGTGTTTGAAAGTAAATTTGGATTCATTCCTAATTTAAGTATACTCGATTTAATATTTAATTTAGGACCTAACAGCAAAAATTACCTAGAAAACATTAGTTTAGAAGCATGGCAAAAAAATAGACATCGAAGAAAGTAAAAATGACGATAGCATTCGCTTGCTGATTTCCGAGTTAAAGCAGAAGCAAGAAAAAATTAACCTTGGTGGCGGTAAATCAAAGATTGAAAAGCAGCACAAAAAAGGCAAATTAACTGCTCGTGAACGCATTGACTTTTTGCTCGATAGTAAAAAAAATGTTATTGAAATTGGCTCTTTCGTTGGAGAAGGCATGTATGAAGAATACGGTGGTTGTCCTTCGGGTGGAGTAGTGGTGAAGATTGGCTATGTTTCTGGAAAACTTTGTATTGTTGTAGCCAATGATGCTACAGTAAAAGCTGGCGCGTGGTTTCCAATAACCGCTAAAAAGAACCTAAGAGCACAAGAAATATCAATTGAGAATAAATTACCAATTATCTATCTAGTTGACAGTGCTGGGGTATTCTTGCCCATGCAAGATGAAATTTTTCCCGATAAAGAACACTTTGGAAGAATGTTTCGAAACAATGCGGTGATGTCTTCCATGGGAATCACACAAATTGCCGCAGTAATGGGCAGTTGTGTTGCTGGAGGGGCTTATCTTCCAATTATGAGTGATGAGGCACTTATTGTTGAAAAAACAGGCTCCATCTTTTTAGCAGGATCTTATTTAGTAAAGGCGGCAATAGGGGAGAGTGTGGATAACGAAACCTTAGGTGGTGCCACAACACATTGCGAAATTTCAGGGGTAACGGATTATAAAAGTAAAGACGACAAAGACTGTTTGACATCCATAAAAAACATTATGGATAAAATTGGTGCAGCAGAAAATGCAGGATTTAGTCGAAAAAAGTCTCAAAAACCAAAAGTTGAAGAAAAAGCACTATACTCCCAAATTCCGTACGACAGAAACAAGCAATATGATGTAAAAGAGATTATCAACTGCTTAGTGGATAACAGTGAGTTTGAAGAATACAAGGCTTTATTTGGTAAAACCATCGTTTGCGGTTATGCGCGTATCGATGGCTGGGCAGTGGGAATTGTAGCTAATCAGCGCCAATTGGTGAAGACCAAAAAGGGAGAAACGAGGTTTGGAGGTGTTATTTACTCTGATTCAGCTGATAAAGCAGCACGATTTATCATGAATTGTAACCAAAAGAAAATACCCCTAGTTTTTCTACAAGATGTAACTGGATTTATGGTGGGTTCAAAATCTGAGCATGGTGGCATCATTAAAGATGGCGCAAAAATGGTGAATGCTATGGCGAACTCTGTTGTTCCAAAGTTTACCATTGTGATGGGCAACAGTTATGGTGCTGCCAAAGAAGGGATGGTCGATCAACAGCGCTGACTCTTCTGGATTTGGAAATATGGATACCTGATGCCTAGCACAAATGGTTGTTTTCAAGAACCTGGGAGTCCCCAACATGATTGGTGTTCACTTGATTTACCTCAATAACGAACCAGGACTGAATTGGCCGCCTCATTTTGGAAACACCCAACTCTATGCGGGTGAGGCGCATCCAGCGCTGCTACCGTCGTCATTGGAGCAAGGCACATCGGAGCAAGTCGCTGAAGGACTGCCCTTATGTCACTACCACCGCTGCCTTAAGCATCATGGCAGCGCGCCTCGCTTCGGCCTTTCCAGAACTCCAGAACGGCTGTTTGGCCTGCAGAATCAACAGCACAGCAGGTTTGGGGCTTGAGCAAGCCGCACGTGTTTGGGCACAGCCTACTGCCTTGGGCTTTCCATAGTCTTGGGAAGATCTGGGAGGTTTGGTTGTGCCAATGACACATGATTTGGAATAATTGTGTAGTGCATGGACTGCTTTTGCCATTTGCCACGCCATGCCTTGATATGCAGCATTCTGCTTGAACATGAGTGCACAAATTCGTGATAACGCGTGCAAGAAAGCAAACCTTGGCAGAAAGTGCATCAGCCATGTCCACCAGCCTTGGGGGGTTGCCAGTTGCCGGGACCCGACCTCCGCAGGATCGAATGAGTGCGTCATTGTAACCTTGCCAGCGCAGGAGCGGGCAAGTGCTGCCACGCAGCTGCAAGCGTCCTGGCGAGGAGTTTTGCAACGCCGTGTTGTACAGCAAAAGCGTCAGGAGCATTGGGACGCGTGACGGAGAGAGATTGGGAGCCAGTGAGCTCAAAGACATGTGTTCACTATTGTCCTTACGCAATTGACTGGCAGCCTTCATGTTGCATTTGCATTTTGTCTTTGTCAAAATGTTCACTCTGTCACTATCTATTAGGCCGTCCTCTCTGTGGCCACCAGTTTGGTTTTGTTTGATACGGCCTGTGAGCGGGACAGCGGTAGGAGCAGCAGCTGTGTACTGACTCTGCGACAAAGCTTCAGTCATTGTGGCGTGGACATAGCGGGCGGCAGAAGAGCAGACAGGCGGGGATGACTCGATTGCTTGTTTGCTTGCTTGTCCTTTTGGTGTGTTTGTTTGTTTGCTCGCTCGCTGGCTTGGTTGTTAGTTAGTTAGCCAGTTAGCTAGTTTGTTTGTGTGTTTGTTTGCTTGTTTGCTTGCTTGCTTGCTTGTTTGTTTATTGTTGTTTGTTTGTGTGTTTGTTTTCGTGGTCAATGTTTGCTTGTGTGGTTCTTAGCCTTTGACAGTGTTATCACTGTTGGAGGCGGAGATGCATGTAGAGCACACCCGTGCAATACTCAACCTATGAGACAAGTTTTGAGTGGACCCTAGGAAGCGACTGAACCTTTGATGGATCTACCATCAGCATTGCCATGATGTGTACACACCGCATATCTCCAACAGCATGGCACGGGCCCCCTCAAACTCCAAATTTAGTGCGGCGCCGGACAAAGAGTCTCCGGTGGTAAGGGATCCCCGTGCAGGCCGGGAGGAAAACAAGGATCAGTTAAACTTTGAACAGACCCCTTGACTCAATTCCCGGAGACAAAAACATTCCTCTATACAAAAGCGAACTTTTTTGAGGTTCCATGTTAGTGTGATCGGATTTGTCCGGTATGCTTCGCCAGCTTTTTCCAGGAGCACCTCCGGCGGGCGAGCTCTGCCACAAAGCTGCAATCGCGTTGGCGAAGGCACCAGCAGCGGAGGATTAAGAAGGCAGCCATGGGTGCGCGAGCGGTGAGAGAAGGAGTCAACTGTGGTGAGTAAAGAGGTTTCATAGACGTCTTACACAATTGTCAGCTGCAAATGAACTGCCAATTGGGGAAATCTTTGCTAAACCCTGCACAAAGCCAACTAGGCTGACGTCGGTACCAGCGAAGATGTGCAGCTGCCGATTCCCCAAGAGGACGATCCTGGATTTCAGGTGTGCTGACTCCATCACGCATCCTTCATTGCAGTATCGTTTGATACTGGGGTTGGGATGGCAAGGTAGAAGTTAGTTGTTCACTACTCTAGATTGAGGTGTTGTGCTAGCCGCGACTGCGAGATGTTCTGGCGTCGCATGGCGTCGCTTGTTTCTCTTATTACCTAGGGTCCTTGGACCGCCTGCTGATTGTCACCGTCCATTATATGCCCTGCGCAGGCCAGTGATAGTCGAGGTCCTGACATACCCGAAGCTTCCTCAGAGCAGGGCAAGGGCGAGGCAGACCAAGCTCCTAGGCTTTTAAAAGAGAAAGGTGTTTTGCGGCATTAGCTTTACATGGTGGCACCACAATGCCGACCTTAGACCTGTTCAAATTTGAATTTTTGGCATGCTGCTGCGCGACTTGTGTGTGTGTGTGTGTGCGTGCTTTTTAAAATGACTTTCGCCACAAAGCTCAACAAGGCTGACGTTGGCACCAGCGAAGATGTGCAGCTGCCGATTCCGCGAGAGGACGATCCTGGATTTCAGGTGTGCTGACTCCATCACGCATCCTTTATTGCAGTATCGTTTGATACTGGGGTTGGGATGGCAAGGTAGAAGTTAGTTGTTCACTACTCTAGATTGAGGTGTTGTGCTAGCCGCGACTGCGAGATGTTCTGGCGGCGCATGGCGTCGCTTGTTTCTCTCATTACCTAGGGTCCTTGGACCGCCTGCTGATTGTCACCGTCCATTCTATGCCCTGCGCAGGCCAGTGATAGTCGAGGTCCTGACATACCCGACGCTTCCTCAGAGCAGGGCAAAGGCGAGACAGACCAAGCTCCTAGGCTTTTAAAAGAGAAAGGTGTTTGGCGGCATTAGCTTTACATGGTGGCACCACAATGCCGACCTTAGACATGTTCAAATTTGAATCTTTGGCATGATGCTACGCGAGTTGTTTGTGTGTGCGTGCTTTTTAAAATGACTTTCGCCACAAAGCTCAACAAGGCTGACGTTGGCACCAGCGAAGATGTGCAGCTGCCGATTCCGCGAGAGGACGATCCTGGATTTCAGGTGTGCTGACTCCATCACGCATCCTTTATTGCAGTATCGTTTGATACTGGGGTTGGGATGGCAAGGTAGAAGTTAGTTGTTCACTACTCTAGATTGAGGTGTTGTGCTAGCCGCGACTGCGAGATGTTCTGGCGTCGCATGGCGTCGCTTGTTTCTCTCATTACCTCCGCCTGCTGATTGTCACCGTCCATTCTATGCCCTGCGCAGGCCAGTGATAGTCGAGGTCCTGACATACCCGACGCTTCCTCAGAGCAGGGCAAGGGCGAGACAGACCAAGCTCCTAGACTTTTAAAAGAGAAAGGTGTTTTGCGGCATTAGCTTTACATGGTGGCATCACAATGCCGACCCTAGACCTGTTCAAATTTGAATCTTTGGCATGCTGCCGCGCGAGTTGTGTGTGTGTGTGTGCGTTCTTATTTAAATGATTTCGCCACAAAGCCTCAACAAGGCTGACGTTGGCACCAGCGAAGATGTGCAGCTGCCGATTCCCCGAGAGGACGATCCTGGATTTCAGGTGTGCTGACTCCATCACGCATCCTTCGTTGCAGTATCGTTTGATACTGGGGTTGGGGTGGCAAGGTAGAAGTTTTCACTACTCTAGATTGAGGTGTTGTGCTAGCCGCGACTGCGAGATGTTCTGGCGTCGCATGGCGTCGCTTGTTTCTCATTACCAAGCGGCCTTGGACCGCAGTGCTGCTTATCACCCGTCCATTCTGTGCCCTGCGCAGGCCAGTGATAGTCGAGGTCCTGACATACCCGAAGCTTCCTCAGAGCAGGGCAAGGGCGAGACAGACCAAGCTCCTAGGCTTTTAAAAGAGAATGGTGTTTGGCGGCATTAGCTTTACATGGTGGCACCACAATGCCGACCTTAGACATGTTCAGATTTGCTTTTTGGCATGCTGCTACGCGAGTTGTGTGTGTGTGCTTATTTAAATGACTTTTGCCACAAAGCTCAACAAGGCTGACGTTGGCACCAGCGAAGATGTGCAGCTGTCGATTCCGCGAGAGGACGATCCTGGATTTCAGGTGTGCTGACTCCATCACGCATCCTTTATTGCAGTATCGTTTGATACTGGGGTTGGGATGGCAAGGTAGAAGTTAGTTGTTCACTACTCTAGATTGAGGTGTTGTGCTAGCCGCGACTGCGAGATGTTCCGGCGTCGCATGGCGTCGCTTGTTTCTCTTTACCAAGGGGCCTTGGACCGCAGTGCTGCTTGTCACCCGTCCATTCTGTGCCCTGCGCAGGCCAGTGATAGTCGAGGTCCTGACATACCCGAAGCTTCGTCAGAGCAGGACCAAGCTCCTAGGCTTTCAACAGAAAATGAATGATGTTGTGTCCTTTTAAGGCTCTTGTTTGGCGGCATTAGCTTTACAATTTGCACGTTGAGGTCGCAGGACCTTTTAGTGGTTCTCTTCTGTCTCCTTGGTTTCTACTCGCTCCTGGGATTGGACTGGCAACGACATTGATGCATTTTCATCGATAGGTCATTTGGGATTTGCGAGGCTACGGGCATCGAGAGGGGAGAGCTGAGTCTGACTTGGCCCCACCAATAATAGAAGGATACCACTGCGAAGGGGAACAGTATTGCCCAGCATTTGCAGTACACCTGCCTGCCTGTAATAACCCACCCTGTCACTTGCATGTTTCAGCCAACAGTTTCATGTTCTTGCAAAGTATACGCGCAACATGTACGTAAGCTATTCTCAGCCGAATTATGCAAACTCGAGCGAAATGTGCTTGCGCAACCCGTGCTGGAAGCAATCCTCTAGCTTGAGCCCCCCCAGAGTTGTGGCTTTCAAAGCATCGGCTTATCGCCGGAGGCGGGCGGCGAAGATGTGCGGCTCACTGAGGGCGATCCTGGATCGCAGGCGTGGGATGAAGTTTGCCTGTTGTATGGCGAGCTCACTTGGGGTGGAACGAGCTTGCCAGGTATGCAGTTCCTTCATTAGGCCAAAAGTTTTGGAGTTGTCGCATTGGGAGATTGCCAGCAATCCAAAGGCACGGCCTAAATTGAGCCGAATATGTGTTTTGAGCCGATGCCTTCATTTGTTAGTTAGTTAGTTAGTTCTTTGTTGGTTTATTTGTGTACTTATTTGTTTATTTATCTATTTGTTTGTCCTTCCTTCCTTCCTTCCTTGCTTCCTTGCTTCCTTGCTTCCTTGCTTCCTTGCTTCCTTGCTTCCTTGCTTCCTTGCTTCCTTGCTTCCTTGCTTCCTTGCTTCCTTCCTTCCTTCCTTCCTTCCTTCCTTGGTTGAGTGGTTGGTGGGTGGGTGGGTTGGTTGGTTGGTTGGTTGCTCGGTCGGTCGGTCGGTCGGTCGGTCGGTCGGTCGGTCGGTCGGTCGGTTGGTCGGCAGCTGAATTCTTCCGTCATCGTGTACGTTTGTTCGTTAGTTCCCATGTTCATTCATATCCGTCCGTCCGTCCGTCCATCCATCCATCCATCCATGTTGTTCCACTGATTTGTGCGAGTATGTCGTCCTTTTTTAGTTCTTGTGTTTTTATTTTGTTTGTTTTCCGTTGTTTTTTTTTTTTGCTAAGTTTGCGTCATTTACTCCAGGCTTGCTGCAGTGCAATAAAACATCCATTCCCGTACCCACTTATACAACACGGCAACTTCCGTCCCTCATATTTGCGCGGGAGCTTTGCAGCACAGCGTTCGCCGCAAGGAGCTCAACACAATTCATGGCAAGTAACCGCACATGCTGTTGGATAGAACCCATGTGAGTCATAATCAAGGCTCAGACATAGCTCTACAGGGGTTTACGCGAAAGCCATATCCTCAAGCGGACGGAAAGCTGAAGCTATGTCTGGCAAAGGAACCCTCCCACGCTACTTGTAGCGGAGAACGGTGCAAGCAGTGCTTGATTTCCGCATCGCCCCTGTCAGGATGTGGATGTGGACAAAGAGCCACAGGAACCTGACCAGGCACAAGTGGGCTGGTCGGCATCCACAGCGATTTGCATGTCGGGCCCGTTCAGGGACACGGATCCCTGTGTTGGGGGGGTAATGGGCGTGCGGGGCAGGTTTGCGGTGCCGACCTTGACAAAGTGAATGGCACATATAATCTCAGTACTGGGGCATGTGATTGTTTAAGGTGAATCTGATAGCTGACTTTGCAGAAAGCCCACGCACCAGCTCTGCACCTACCTTCTTCTGATTTCTTCTGCCTTTGCACAGTAAGGCAGGCGCTGCTCTTTGGGCTAATCCATGCTAATCCCTTTCAGTGGAAGACTGGTTAAAACAAGCTCTCGGCACAGAATCACTGGGCGGGCTGCGGGATGCAACATGCCACTCCGCTGCCTTTTCGTGCTTCTTGTTTAAACTGAACGATCCCAATCTTTCAGCGGCTCGATGCAGTGCAGCAATCACGCTGCTGCTGTTCGGCTTTGTGGGCACCCACAGCCACGCAGAGATTTTACGCCCGCAGGAACCCACGTCGCCGCGACTTGGCTGCACCAGCTGGACGGCAAAACGGCCTGTGGCGGCCTGGGGGCTGCACAGGCCCGGAATGGCATGTGGCACAAAGCCCACAAACAAAACAATAACACCCAGCTCCAGATTTATAACTTAGCTAGGGTATTCACCACAGTGAAAAGTACAGTAACGGTTTGCGCACGAATCAACGAATTGGCGGTTTCTCCTCCAGCAGTTTGCAATGTTGGACAGTTTTCGTTCAGCTTGGCACCATAGTGCCGTCATTCAATCAGCGACGAGCTTTGCCAAGGTTGGGCGAGGCTGGCGGACCAAATCAGGCAAGAAGGGCTGGGGCCACCTCGCGGCACGGCTGTTGCAAGCTGAGATGTTGGCTTCCCACGGTCAGGACAACTTGGTCAGGGCTGCCTGTTGAGCCCATTTAAACATCACCTACTGGGCCGCTGTGTGGCTTTTTGTGTTGGGATATAGCCAAGAATAAGAAGGAGGATATGTTTCACGCGGTTTCTTTCGCTTGGCCACGGGTGAGCATTTGTGCTTGGGAGCCGGCTTTCTATATTTATTTGACTTCTTGTTCTTGAACGACACATTGACATGCATGTGGAAGTGGCATTGTGCTGCAATCTGAGTGGAACGTGTGGCCATCTTGAGGTCATGTTAGGGTTTGTTTCGCATAATGCCACCTGTGTCACTGTGTGTACTGACAAGCTTGGAAAGTCTGATGACGTTTGAGTGTAACCGTTTTCAACTGATTTTCTTGTGCAGTTGGCGATCTGTTGGCAAGTGCCTTCTGGGCAGCTGAGACTCATTAGGCCCGAGGGGGACAGAGTTGCTTCCCTTTCGCCTGCCTACCATGGCGCGGTGGGAGCTTGTCCAGAAATGCCCGACTGAGTTCCTGGAAGCAAGCCTCCTGTGCACCCCGCACGCCTCAGCCAGGCCCACATGCAGAAGGAATGCGATCAGATCAGCATCTTGGATGGTATGTCAAGGAAGCAAGTGGCTCTTTTGCTTTGGCTTGGCTTAGCCTAGCTCTTGCTTGGCCACTTCCAAGCTATCCCGCCCTATTGCTTTAGCGGCATGGTGTGCCTGGCGTTGAGCGTGGCGCCAAGCTGTTGAACTTCTTCACTACTTCACACAAGGCTCATGTGGCAGGGACGGGAAGTTTCCCGAAGGCTTCAGTTCACTCATGATGGCCAAGTCCTGAAACTCGAAACCCTACAGCTGGCTCATGAGAAGCTGCAAAACGGTATGGCAAGTTAACGGACTTTTGTGCGGCGTTTGTCTGCACGCCAGCTGGCCTCAGTTTGCCAATGCTCATTTTCAGTTTGTCGTCAAGGTTGGAAACTGCTTGGGATTCAGCACTTTCGCAGTTGGTTTGCATGTACGGCGGATGGAGAAGCTGCAAATCTGCGAAAATGCCTATGCAAAATGTTATGAACTCACCTCTTCTCCACAAGTCAGTGTATGAACAATCACCAATTTCTACATACGCAGACAAAGCAACATTGCTCTCGTGCTTCTTGCTGCGCGCATGACCTCCTGCTACTTGTTGCGCGCATGCCCTCGTGCTTCTTGCTCAGCGTGTGCTCTCGTGCTCTCATGCTACTTGCTCGGCATGTGCTCTAGCGCATCTTGCTTTGCGTGTACGCTCGTGCTACTTGCTCTGCTGCGCGCTTGCGCAGCTAGCTCTACATGTGGTCTCCTGCGTCTTGCTTTGGGTGTTGCCAAGGGCTGGGAAAAGGGGGGCGACTTTACAGGACAACCCTTCGCAATGCTGTCGGCAAGAAGGAAGAAGCATCGAGTAGCCAACATAGCCAACGCCAAGACATGACGTCATCATTGCATCCTCCCTTCCTCCCCTCCTGGCCAAGTCAAACATGCCGCATCTGTGATCGGGCAATTGCGGAGCATATTTGCTCGGGACTGCCCTGGGCTTATTTGCTTACGCCAGCTTAAGATTTTGAATTTATAGGGCTCATCCATCGCCCAACTGGCCTGGTGCAGATTTGTCCATTGACAGTAGGAGCCCGAGGTAGCTCTGATGCAGAGGGTTTTAGAAATCGGCTAGCAATCGATACCAGACCCCTCATGCAAGTGAAGATATGTGAAGCATTCGTCATTGCGAAGGCCTTTTGCTGGGCAATTCCCGCATCTCGCACTCGTGAGGCAACGGCAGCCGGGAGACAGTTGCAAGCGAGGCTGGGGATTGCAGGTGTCCAGTGACAAGTCTTTCAACGCATCGCCAGGGCCACTGGGAGCCAAAGTGCGATGCATGGAGCTGTCTCTTGGCTCAGTCGTTGCGAACTCGCGAGCCGATGGATTGTTCCGTGAGGTATGGCTCCTTTTGGGTTGTAAAAGTGAGGGACTTTTTCGCGTACTCCCTTCAAGCAGCAGCCTTAAAGGGCCATACTTCTGAACCTCACGTTGGTCCTTGAGTTGCAAGTTCAGATAGGAAACGGAGCTTACGCTCCTGCTTGTTTCGAGAGGTTGGTGACTTCAGGCCCTACTACAAATGGGATTGACTCTCAACGAGGAGGATCACTGGCAAAAGGGGATAAAGAGTTCTGGAAGCAAGAAGCTGGTGCAACATGCCCGTGACTTGTTTGGGTGCAGGGCGACTGGCTCAACTCCCTTTCGGGACAACAGCTAGTAGATGCACTCTATGTGGCGTCTATGTTGCATGTGGACTGATTTGGCCAAGAAAGCTGCTCTGAGGAACATCCAATTCGAAGGCATGGGGCCGGGTCGTGGGGCAGATTCATCCGGGACTCCTATCATCCTGTCCTAGGTCATCAGTGCGGCCTTGTCAACGAAGTGAGCCCAGATATTTGTGCACCTTGGCTGCAGCAATAAGCTAGATGAGTTGCACGCACAGAATCAGCTTGTCAGCTTTTGGTTGGCACGTTTGCAACAAGCGCTTGGATGTGCAACCTCACGGAATATTAGAGAATCATTGGTTGCGGGCAGGCGTGTGTTTGTGTTTATGTTTGTTTTGTTGGTTGAGGTGGAGGCGGGGGTGGTAACGGTGGCGGCGGCAAAGAGCGTTTTGTCAAGCTTGCTGGCTGTGCTGTGCGGTGGTCGTTTGGCTTACCGTACCGCCTCAGCTGTGCAGCAATATTTGGTGCACTGCCCGTCAGGTAGGTTATTTGTAGCCTCTGAGTCTGGACGACCCCCTCCTTTGTACATAGGCCATTTTGGGCTGTGCCCACATACCCACTGACCGGGTTCGCAGCGAACTTGGCGCGTACCAATCAGGTGCTGTGCGAGCGGCCCCGGGAGAGGCGCCGCGGGAGCCTGGAGAAGCTGGCAGGGTCGGCGAGGCCGGGACCTTCGTTGAGGTGGAAAGCAAAACGATCCAATCAGGAGTCGAATCAGGAGAGACATTCGGGGGCCCCTCCAGATCCCCGAGCCCTTTGATCAGAACCGAGACTGTCGGTGGTTGGGGGGTTCCGGGGGGAGTGGGGGGGCAGGGGGGTTGCCTTTGGATTCCTCCCTCACCGACTCAGGTGTTTTCCTCGCCCAAGGTTCCACACGTTGCCGCCTTGCAGGATAGCTCTGAAGCTTACCTTTTTGGGTGATGTTGTTGTCCGGCAGGAAGCAAGCAAGATTTGCTGGCTGTTGTCGCAGTCTCTATATTTAGGATGCAAAAGTCAATGGAGGGTGGCCTGCATCGAATGCGGTTCTCCTGTTGTCCTCAGTGATTGTTGCTCGGGATGGTCATGAAGCTTGCGGGCAAGTGTTTTGTTTTGCTGGTGGCGATGCCCCTCTAAACAGGCGGGTGCTCGTCATCAGGGTAGGATGGGTATGGATGGGTAGCAGTAGCAATCAAGTCCCCACGCATGCTTCTTACAGCAACGCCTTTTTCGTTTGTCTTCTTCCTCCTCTTCTTCTTTTTCTTATCTGACTTTCTTCTTCTTCTTCTGCTTCTTCCTCTTGTCTTCTCTTCCCTGTCTTCTTCTTATGGCATAACGAGGCTGTGTTTCTTGCCTGGTGCCAGCCAGAGCAAATGCTTGTGTGCATTTGCAAGCACCAGGCGGCATGTTGCGACATTGCACTCAAAGCAGCAAAGCACCTCAAGGATGCCGTGCGATGAAACGTGCCCGCGCTCAATCTTCCAACCCACATGGTAGTACAATTGACTCCCGAATTGTTGCAAGCGGTGAAGAAAGGACACCCAGTCGCCGACCACGGCTAGCACTATAATTGGAATCATCCATATCAATCATCCCACGCTGCATGTTCCACTTCAGAGATGCGACTTCCAGGCCTCGCCAGCGCTGAAGGCGCCGCCAATGATTCTCCAATGCGCAGGGCTTCGACCAAGAAGGTGGGGTGAAAGACCTGAAAGATCCTGAAAGAAGTGGATAGAGGCGAACATTCCAAGCATCGAAACCAGATGAGACGCAGAGTTCAAAAAGTCGTGCTCAGTATCGTGGATAAACTTTGGTTGCGATGCTTGCAGCTTCGTGTACGCAAGCTTCGTCGTTTGGGGGATGATCTGCAAATTCCGCAAAGAGTTTTGGGAGGCTTGCTGCAAAGCAGGTTGGAGAGCGGGGTTGCAGACTCAACCAGCTTTCTGTGTGCAGGCCTGTGTGCTGCTGGTGCCCCAGCCGGCACAGCCCGTGAATTCGGCTGAGGTCACACTCGTTTTTTTGTTTTGTTTTTGCCTTGGAGATAACCACCACCATCACAAGATCATCACTCAGCACATGGCAAGCTTATTCCCGCGGGAGACGGTCAAGCAGGGTTCAACACAAGTTGCATTTGCATGTTGCACACTACCCACGTACAGTATTTGCAAGCTTGATTTTTACGTAATTCATGCAGAGTCAATGCTGCCGCGTTCTGACTTATTTTCCATGGCCACGCTTTGTTTCGGATCTTGTTTCAGCGCTTATGCTGAATCCATCCAGTTGTTTGTTCAATCCAATCCGAGTGCCATCGACTACTTTCATTTGCGTTCCAGGGCGTTCCATTCCCCCTCGCCCAAGCTGATAATGACTGCCACGCATTGTCGCGGATGTGGAATGAATCTGTCCAAGGAAGGGTACAATTTACCAGAGGCTTAAATAGGGCTAAGCAAACGTGTAAATTTCACGTTTCCTTAGTTCGGGACGAACTCAAACGTGCAAAACATATCCATAACTCCATGCCCCCTATACTCTGTTTTTTACCGCCCACAGGGCCTTGGGAGGCGAGTGTTGCGAGGCCTTGCTCTGGCCAGTCTTAGTCAGAAGCACTGTGTTGGCCACCTGCTGATGTCAACTTGCCCAGCGTTTCAGCAGCGGAGACCTCAAGCAGCCTCAAATGACCCCAAAAGATCCCAAAAGCTCACCACAGCACGCGCGACTCGGCGTTGAAACCTGGGCGAGCAGCTTGGCGTGTACAGCAAGCCGAGCCTGGACGAGGACCAGTGCCCTCGCAGGTCTCACCAGAAAAAAAGAGAGGGCGAAGCTGGGTGTTCGTGTGATTGACTGCGCCCTTTCATGGGTTTAAGGTGATCGGAAAACGTATTTTGCAGGGTATCCATGTAGGGCACCCTGAGAGGTTATTTGACTCCGTCGCCCCACAGCACCCTAAGCTCTGGAAGAGGCTTCAAGCTGACACCTGGTGTGAAGTGAGACGGTGAAATCAAAAGCTGTAAGCATCGGGTCTGCTAATTGCGAGCCAGCCATGCTGGGCATAATTCCGAGGTTCCATGTGGCTGGCCCACCAACTAACCACCAAGACTTGTGTTTCGTTCTTTGGACCCACTACACGTGGTTTGACTTGCAAAGGTCAGGTGGTCCATTGCTTTATTTTTCTGAAGCCATCGAAGTCATTTGATCTTTACATATAATGCATGCGTTCGCAAGCTGCTTAGAGAGCCAGAAAGGTGACACAACGCAAATAGGATGTTTCTTTTGAGGGGGTGCCTGAAAACTTCCCTGCTTGGTTTCTATCAATCACGGACTTAAGCACGGAGGTCACCTTAACGCAAAGGTGTCTTCCCACATTTGGCTGTGTATCGTTTGGGGGAATCCTTCGCGGCTTGCCTTAGTGGGAAAACACACAATAAAAGGGAAGCAGTTTGGGGTCCCTTGAATTCTTTGAGACATGCCCGTCTTTCTGTCAGCTTCAACAAAATCGCTGCTGCCAATTCGCTGCTGCACCATTTTTGCGATTTGCTTAGGCTGCAAGCCTGCGCCGCGGGTGTTCGCGCAGCAGACCCAGAGTCGCGAGGGGTTGCGCGTGTCAGTCTCTCAAGAGTTGTTTGCCAATTTCTTTGCGCTCACCTTGGGGGTCAAGCGATCTTAGGTCGTTTATTTGGGGATCCCTTGGAATTATTGCATGTGTGCAGAATTTGAGGGAGTGATGACACGCACACAGATTATATACGTGTAAACGTTTCGCTCCTGTAGTTCAAAAGCACCAGCTTGAGCACTTACTTGTCAAGTAAAGAATTCAACAGAGATTGGCAGAAGAAGACAGAGATTGGCAGACCTCGTAGTTTCAGGAAACCTCCTTGGGTTGACCTAGGTTGAACCAGTGATTGCATTTTGTAGTTGGCTTAGACAAGGGGGGACATTTATTTGGAGGTTCGAAAGCGCGAAGGCAGTCCAGAAGGTCAATGTATGCGAGAAGGATTGAAAAGACATGTTTGATGTGGATGTTCCACGCAGGCTGGATAGAAGACTTGCGCTTGGCATGAATGCCGCCAAGGTCATGCACATTTTGCCTCAGTCTGCTCAAGCTCAGCGGGACGGAGCACGGATCTCAGCTGCCCCGTGACCCACGTCACTCACGGGACCCTGGCACCCGGCTGCAGAGATGTTAGCGGGGTGAGCGGAACTCAGGGCAAACCAATGAAAAACCAGGGACGTCAGGTTCTGTGGCAATGTGGAAGCGTACCCCTTTTCCCACCAATGAAGTGGGCAGCTGCCCAAGAGGCCTGTCTTCCAAAGCCTTCTTAGCTTCCCTGATTGGGATGGATGTTTGCCCTTCGGCGCGCCCCTAACTTGTTAATCAGTGCGGCTGTGTTTATTTTTGGTTGCTTAGTGGGGCTTCTGTTACGGACCCCCCTGAACCAACATCTTGTGTATGGCCGCCGATCTAGCTGCATGGGGCTGAGGCCATTCTTCTCTCGGAGCTCGCCAGCAAGGCCCAGCTTTCTGCCTAGCTTCTTGCAAGCCGACAGCGACATTCGCTGTGGCTGGACGAAATCCGTTCGCACCAGCTATGAAACCATGGTTGAACGGTGCAGGATTTCGTCCATCCACAGTATGTCCCTACAATTTGCCTTCCTTGCTTTGCGGGCGCAGAGGCATCACGTTTTGGAAAGGCCGAGGTTCGTGGCAGCCAGCGTTGGGCATCCCTCCACCTGAAAGGTCCCTGCTGGAAATCATGATGTTTCGGAATGCGGCAACTCCACGAACTCGGTAACGCCTTTTTTGCACCAAGGAGGGGCTTTCCCCACCCACATTGAGCCTACCACCGCGTGACGTGTTCATACCATATATGCAGAAACAGTGGTAGACTCAGTCCTGCCAGAGCAAATGAAAGGCACCTGTCATAGGTTTGTTGCATTTGTCGTGCTTGGTGTTCTCCCTAACCCTCGTTGCATCATGCGTGTGCGGAACTCTGCCAATTGCTTCTGGCTGCAGAGGACGCAGCTTCCAAAGAAGATGTGGCGGCCAGGGGTGGCGTGCTCTTGGCTGCCTGGATGCCAAGTATAACCAGCCAGCAGCAGGCCGTCAACCCGGCGCCAAACCGCAAATTGTGATTGCGCGAATGAAGGGGAAAGTGTGCACGACAGAACGGCTAGCATGGCTAGCCTTTCAAGACGTCCCCTACAACAAGCTTTGTGCAGGCCGACTAGCCTATGTTAGAGATGGTGAGGGGTATCAGTTGGAGAGGACTGCACTTAGCAATTCAAGTTTCGTCAATGCATGTAAGTAGTTTCTCGTTTGTCGTGACTGGGCAAGGCATGCATGTCGGCACACATAGACATATTGAAAACCAGCCACACGCTTGCAAGCGCGGCAATGCTGGCATGTCTTCAAGCCGGCGGTACAAAAGGACTGCGCACTCTTCACATCTCGTCGCTGTGTGATCGTGGTGCTTGGCCCCATGTGATCGAACAAAGAAAACATAATTAAGGGGTTGAGCAACCGCTGAGAAGGTCGAGAGGACTCTCGAAAGAGTGGTCCGTGACATCCAGATTGTGTGATTGTGCGGGTTTTTGCTTAGGTGGGACCGACCCTTTCGGGGAATCCTCAAAAATTGGGGGGGGGGGGGGGGGCTTTTGCATTCCCTTCGAAACCACCCCACCACCCCAAACGCAGGTACCACCAAAAGACCAACACCCAGGTCTCGGCGCTCCGATGGCTCGCCACGACCTCCGCGCTGCAGAACAGCCAGTCGCTGCTGCACCACATGAGCCTTGGGCATTGTCTTTGGTGTTGCTGAAAAGTCGCGCCCCCGGCAGGTGGTCGGTTTGTGCTGGCTTCTCTCACCATCCAAAAGGGGACGTTTTTAGGATCAGTTTCCTGGGCTGGGCCATCTCCACAGAATAAATGGGGTTGGGCCATTGGGAGTTTGCTGTTCAATCGGGCTGCTTCTGACCGGCTTTCAAGAAACTCTCAATGAGGATGTTTGAGCACGAGTAGCTCAAACAGATTTACAGGTGGGGTTCTTGAGTTATTGTTATTTACAGCTTAGGCTGACAAAGTCAAACAGAAGCTGTTTCCCGGTCGACGCGCCAAAGACAGTATATCATGCAGATGTATACCCGAAGGTGGGGCTGATCATTTGAGCGAGGCTAGCTTCGCAGTGCGGAAGCCCAAATGCATTGGACATGCAGAACAAAAGCGCATTTGTGAAAAGGTCTTCGGCCCTTCGCCCTCCGCCGCAGCCAGGAGCCCCCAGTGTTCGGAGGCCTGCTCCGGGGCTTTCCGCCTGCTGGCGGTGATGTGCCGCAACACGGGGCGGCAGGCGCGAAAGCGGCCTGGGTGGGCCAAAAGGGTGGACCACCGACCCCCTTTGGTATTCACAGGGAAACGGAAGGGACACCCATCATTTTGGGGGACCTCTATTTCGAGACACGAACAGATGTCCATTTTGGGAATGATCGAACATTGCAGCTTGGTGGGCATTTGACGAAACGGCGGGCTTCCCTGAGCGGGACAAACTGAATGACCCGAGCTAGCTCGCCGATTTCAGGGGGACCCCTGTTGATATTCCGGGAGCTTCATTCATCAGGGTTGCATGCTGATGTAGTTTCAATGCCAACTGAAGGCCACGCTTCTTCCCAAGCTTTCGCGCTGTGGCACATTCGTGTGCTTCAGCCACACCTTGCTGGCTGACATTGAACTGTCCAATGGTCGAAACATGTCGAAACATTGTCTTTGATTTGAGAAAGTTATGGCTTCCGCTGAGGGCACAGAAGGAGCCGTGACCGTCCGTGACCATGACTCCGGCAATCAATTTGGACCTTGCACCAACGTCTATTGGGCTGTTATTATTTGAAGGTCCGGCCAGTTGGTTCGCGCAGTGCTCAGTGAGTTTGGAGAGTTCTCATTTGGCCACGCGCAAGCCGCAAGGCACAAGCTACAGAAGTTGGGAGCCTGCAGGTTTGTTTGCAATGCATGCCTGGCCCACAGATCATGCAAAGTGACACTTCTTCTTCGAAGCTG